TTTACTACTATTTTATATTTAAAATTTAAAAAAAAATTCTCATCTCAAATAAGTTTTTTGTGGGATTCCGTGACTTTGTTAAATACAGGGGTGACTTTTTGAATTATCCCAATGTTGGAATGTATCAAGAGCCTAAATTTTCCATTCATTCCAGCCAACTATAATGCATCCTTTTGAAAACTGCCCTTTACCATACGCTGGAACTGCTTAAACTCATGCTATGTGGACGACTGTGTATCCGAAGTTTTTGATATTAATGTTTACAAGTTGTTTCAATTTACATGGCTTTAAAAGCAAAGTTGCTTGTAAAAATGGTGATAAGCATTTTGGAGGAATGTCTGTTTTAGGGACAATGTGGTACTTCAATTTCCTACTAATTTACAGCCAGGCATGTGAAATGAAAAGTAAGAGGTTAATTTTGCAATGCTACAAAAGATTTTCAATTCTCTTGGCTTTTTAACTCCAACAACACAACTTCCAAATCTACTCTTACAAGATGTGTGGAAGTCAAAAGAAAACTGGGATTGTAAATTACCACCAGATATTTTGAAATAATTTTCATAATGGTATAAAGATATACATGAACTAAAAACTTAACTTTGCCTCGTTACATGGCACTTAATTCATTTCCTGAACTGCATGTTTTGTTGATGCTAGTAAAGGGGTGTATTCTGCGTGCGTCTTTGTTCGGCTAATAGTTAAATCAGATGTGAAGCTAGTTCTTGCTGAAGTCTAGAAAGGTTCCTCTTATATCCCTGAGTATGCCATGTTTAGAATTGATGACTTGTAGTACAGATGCTAGGCTTGTGAATTCTAGTACCACAGTTCTTGGTCTCTCAGGTCTTAAAATAAACCTTTGGTCTGATAATAGTGCAGACATTTGGTAGATAAGAGAGCTGGGAAACCTGGTAATTTTTGCGATGAACCAAGTTACAGAAATTCATCAGTTGACAAAGCTTCAAGCAAGTTCCAGAGAATAAGAATATTGCTGATTTACTGTCACGTTGCTGTTCTGCTTGAGGCATGATTGTTTCTAGGCTAAAATCCTTAATGATAGCCAGTTGGCAATGTTAACCCGCAAGAGCACACGCCTGGTTCAATGGACCCGCCCGATTAAAAAAAATCTTTCTGAAAACGCCCCCATTTTCCCTCCTCCAAGGCCATCCTCTTTATGTTTCCGAAGTTTTTTGCCAGAAATTTGATTCAAAGTTTGTTTTGATCAGATCGGATCTTTCAGAAGTGTTTTCATGCTTTTCAGAATGAGTTCAGTCTTCAAGGGCTTTACAAAACAACCTGCATCTGGTAGATGAGAATCTATGAATTGTATTTCGTTTTCTTTTGTTCTCAACAAATACCATTCAGGATTTGAATTATTTCCTGAAACATGGCAGTCATGTCATGTTACAAATGAGCAATAGTAGGAAACCATTCTGAATGCACATAATGTAACATGACATACATGTGAATTGCACATATACATATATAATTATTACAAAAATAAGATTAGCGTGGGAAATTTTCCAAATTTAGTAGTCTACAGGATTTTTTAAAGAATATTATGCTATACAATATTCTTAAGCTAACACATACAAAAAAAATGTCCAGAAATTTCAACTTTTAAAATTCAAAATTTTGTTTACAGTATTATTCATAACATTGACTTTTTTTAACACATTACAACATTTTTAAACATAAAAATTGTGAACATATAGGATATACATAATATGCATTTATACATACACAAGTGCAGATTTTAAACAATATAATGAAAAACTGACAATTTATGTTCAAATTTATGATTCTGTAAGAGCAAAACTTATTTAACAGCAGCAGCCCACTAATTTAAAATACTGTTTCTCTATGCATATATATCACTTTGATAAAAAAGTGCTTTAAAATAAAGTTTACTACTCCAACTCTGCAAAAACCTATCCTTTACAATAAGAAATAATTCTGAATTATCTCTGGTTACATAAATTGTTCTTTTTAAACTACTAGAAAAATAATTTTAAGAATCAGAAGTTAAATGCATTGTAAAAATTACTAATGAAAGTTATGAGTTATTTTTAATTTCAGCCTTTACTATAACTTTGCCTTTCCATTTCCTCATGAGAAATGTAAATGGCATAGAGTATTTAAGCTGAGGTTTTTTTACTGTTAAGACAGAATGTATTTTTGCCTCTCGAGGCTACTCTATTTTAGTTCTGCCATCCCTGTTAAGTTTGTAATTATTCGGTTTGCATTATTTGCTGTTGAGATTTACATTGTTATGCCAGGTAGCGTTTTCAGCCAACTTCAATTTAAATATAATTAAGGAGTCCTTGACAACTAGCCTAGATTTTAATTTGAATTTATCTGTTACATTAGTCAAATGTATATTTATCCATGAAAAGCCAAAAGATATTCCTTCCAAATGTTAATTCACACTCAAAATGGCAGTCGTAGAAAAGAGAAATATCAGATCAGTAAAATTAAGGAACTTTTTGCAGATTCTGGACAAAATTAGGGGCTTTTAAATTATCTTCAAAAAACATAAGGACCATAAGAACTCAAGTATTACAACTACTGTGTTAACTAAAGTATGAATTATGAGGAACATGAAAAAAATTCAGCACCACCTTTCAAACTGCTTTGTTTAGAATATCAGCGTTCGAGAACTAGGCACAAAAAAATTAAAACATACATGACAAAACCTTATTGCGAGTTACATTAATGATATGAAACGCAGTAACTCTTTAAAACATTTAAAAAAATTATATTTGAAAATAGTTGTCTTATAGAGTTTCTGTTCTAAAATATACTTTATTTCAAATGCTAATGATTAATGACAAATGTTTAAAATAATTGATACAGTCTAAACAGAACAAATCAATCAAAATTTTAGGCTAAGTTATGAATGTCTGTTCATAATCAAAACAACTATCTCCTTGTATATTCAAAATTCCAACACATCATTCTTTACACATTTTTTTAAATAAAGCATTAAGGATAATTTTTATTTGTTGCTTTAGTTATGCATGCCATTCACTTTTCCATGCTAATAATTTCAGCTTAGGTGATCTATACAATTTCTCTCCAAAAAGATAATACACACATAAAAAAAAAAAAAAAAAAAAAAAAAAAAAAAAAAAAAAAAAAAAAAAAAAAAAAAGACAGATACAAGTAATTTCAGAAATGAATACCAAAAATACTACAAAACTTACATTCGAGGTTCCTCTCTTATCTAAAGAGTGATTATTTATTTTTTTTCCCCCTTTCTTTGAGCTCATGAACCACAGATCATACGAGGGCCATCCAGGAAGTAGATTACGTTTCCGTCTGTGTCCGCTAGGGGCGGGGCTAGCGCGGCCATCTTGGGGTCAGAGCGTTGCGCAGCTCAGTCTGCATCTAGCCGTGCTAGTGAGAGGTTCGTGCTGTGCTCCGTTCAGATACTGTGACGGTTTGAAATGTCTGCGTTAATTGAAAATCCCGCGAGCTGCGCTCAGTAATAAGGTTCTGACTCTGACTGCAAAAAAACTGTAAACCGATAGAAATCTGTCGGCAGCTTCGTGAAGTGTATGGGGACAACATTATCACTGAAGGTGGAGTGCGTCAGTGGGTCATAAGATTTCAAAATGGCCGAACCAATGTTCACGACGAAGATCGAAGTGGGAGACCCAGCATAGTGACCGCCGAACTTCTCGAAAAAGTCGATGCTAAAGTCCGTGAAAATCGAAATTTCACAATAACGGAACTTTCTTTGAGTTTTCCACAAATTTTGCGAAGTTTGTTGCACGAAATCATCAGCGAAAAGCTTGGTTACCACAAGTTTTGTGCAAGATGGAAGGCAAGAAGAGGTAACGAAGTGGTTGAAGGCGCAGGCGGCCGAATTTTTCGACGAAGGAATTTCCAAGCTCGTACATCGCTACGATAAATGCCTTAATTTGTATGGTGACTATGTAGAAAAGTAGTATTTGAGTGTGGCTTTCATCTGTATATAATAAAATTTGTTTCCTATACTTTGTTTATTTTTTTATTCCAAAACGTAATCTACTTTCTGGATAGCCCTCGTATTATAATACTGATACATAGACCAACTCCGTAACAAAACAGTAATAAAAGGTAAAATATTGAAAAAGGAATGTAAAATAAAGTTATGCATGTTAATGCTCATTATGGCAATTTTATTGTTGTACAAGTTATAAGTCAATCTCTCCTCAATTCCTTCTTAAATTTCCTACAAAAACAAACAAGTAGCGATAACTTGTTGGTTGTTGCAGACAAAGCACCATATATTTGAATTTCATTCTTCTGACTATAACACTGTTAAGAACTAAACAACAGAAATGACTTAACAGTCAAAGCAACATTCTGAATAGCAGCACAAACAAATTTAACAGTAAAAAAAGGTAGCTTTTTATTAATCAGACTTCAGAATGAAATAGTAATTGAAAAGCATTAATAATTAAAGTCAAACAAAAACAATAAATTAATAAAAACAAATAGTCAGTTCAAAAGAATTAGTAAAATATAAATGTGATAAAGCCCCTAACAATGGACATGCTTAAATATAATATAAATTAACACTAACAAAAACATAATATAGATTAACATAAACATAACATAAATTACTTAAACAATATAAATTAATAAAGAATTAGTAAAAAGAAGGGGAAAAACAATGAAAAATTAGCAATCTGGTTTTAAGATTTTTATGAAAACCAATATATATAACAAAATGACGAAGAATTGAATTACTATCCATAACTTGGAGAATATACAGGGAATGAATTTGCGATGATGTCAAAGGTCATACGAGGTCTAATGCACCTATAACATAGCAGAAAATCGCAAGATCTCTAACATTACGTGCTCTTCATATCTCAGCTCACAAAAATTTCTGTCAAATGGGAACGGCATAATCTGAGACAGCAAAAACTTAAAAAACTTAGCCACCTAGATGAATTTAAATTACATAATTTTGCATATTATATTAATTTACAATTTTATGTGTAACTTACTTCTCTCAACAGCACTCTCTACAGCATCTGAAATGAAAAAGGTTTATGTTAATTGTATGTATTTCAATGCATTATATTACATGGAATACATATTTTCCACAAATAATACATATGTACAGAGCGGTTATAAAATACCTTTCCTTGTTTAAAGGTATCTGCAGCAAAAACTAATAAGTGGCATGAAACCAAATTTCATAGACAGACTGTAAAAATGCATGGAGAAATTAATTCTGCTAAAAAGAAAAAAATATTCCCAAAAGTTGACGACATGAGAGATTTCGATATTGTTGGAACCGGAAGTGGGTCAATAATTACAACAAATGCATGGGAAATGGTTAGTTGGTTGACTTTAATGGCACAAAACCTTGAAGGTTATTATGGGCCAGACGAATAGTGAATAAAATCTAAAATGCACAAACACACAGTATCAGATGAATTGTTGAAATGAACCTGCAATGCTGATGAAAGCATGGAGAAATGACTTTGAGAAATGCTCTATCAACAGGTAGAGCAGGATAAAAGGAAAAAAAAACTTCGAATCATATGGTAAAAAAAGAGATGTCTTTTAAAAATCTTATGAGGTTCATGTGAAGGTTTCTTCCAATGAGATCTGTTAACATTCATAAAGTTAAAATGATATTTACGTTTCTGACTAAAAGCAGGACAGCAGGTTAAAATGCGATTGACTGAAACGGGGACGTTGCAAGTGCCACAAATAGGCTCATTACTTCCTTGAGATACTGATGTGTCAGTCTGCAGTGACCAATTCGTAGGCGAGTGAGGAGTACATCCTCCTTTCGATTCCCTCTCAACTCCCAATACTCCAAATTGGGTTTTACTTGTCTTAATTTGTTCAGAGTTTGGCATTCCCAGAGTTCTTGCCACCTGGACAAGATCTTCGTTCTGATGTAATTCCGTATGTCTGTAAAAAGGACATCATTTTCAGAGGTAATAGCAGACTTTGCTGTGACATCGACGAGTTCATTGCCTTTGATGGCCAGCATGTCCAGGCACCCAGCAGTACGCAGTAGAATAACCTGTGTTTCTCAAACAGAGGTGTGCCTTTAAAATTTCTAAGACCAAAGGGTGGCTAGTATTTGTATTTATTGATTTAAGAGCACTCAGAGAGTCAGAGTAGAAAATGTTTCGTAGGCGAGTCAGCAGTACATCTTCCTTTCGATTCCCTCTCAACTCCCAATACATTCTGATGTGTCAGTCTGCAGTAATAATTCTGATGTGCAGTCTGCAGTGGCAAACTTTCTGCTATTCTGTTTAGAGATAAAGATTAAGGAATTCAAAATGGCAAAAGTTTCTGCAGTAAAGACAGATGCAGCTTTACTTTACAGTTAGAATGACTGCTTCTATGCTCTAGGAAAATTTGTTGATATTGGACATCATTGGTACTGCTCTTCTTAAGTTCCCCAAAAATGTTCTAAAAAAAAAAAAAAAAAAGAAGTTAGGTGAATAGTCACTTCTTGCCAGGGAGCAATACCAAAAAAGTTAAAGCTTTTGGGATGCAGATCTTTTAGGATGCAGATCTTTTAGGTTGAATTCTTCAATGAGTGAATGTGAAGAAAATGGGGGATGACAGGACGGTTTGGTAGATCAATAGGGGATCAATGTCAGAGTCGGACAGGATGTTTGGCTTGTGACATTACTTTATTAAGAGACAATGGACAACTGCGGTGTCTAATTCCGAGATGGTTCAAAAGAGAATAAAACTTGGGAATGGAGATGTTCTGAAAGCTCCACAGCAAATCGTAGTGCTTGAGGTGGACTGGACAAGGCATAGCATAAAGGTCTTTTATCCAGACATACTGCCAACCTATGACCTCAAAAATCAGAAGCTTTTTTAAGAAAACGAAGATTTTTCCAATGTTAAAAAGACTTTTAAATGAGGAAAAATTAGTTTTCAATAATGAATTGACTTTTAAATATAAATAACGAATGCAAGCAAACAACAAAAATTCCTACACATAAAAACATTTTAATTACTGCATCGTTAAGAAAACAAAAAAAAAAAAAAAAAAAAAAAAAAAACCCTTATCAGTTTCTAAATGGATAAAGTGGTAGATTTTGCTTTTTTACAAAGAAAAACTTCCATTTTGCATAGCATATAAACGTAGGCCTTCTTGTCACTAATAAAGTTTTCCGAATGTGGTCATCACTAATTTAGATCTAATTTAGTCCTCGTTTTTCGCGCAACAACCTGAAAATCTCTCACAATTCTGCAAAATATGGGGAACTGTCAAGGGCCAACATAATTCTAGACAGTTCTCTATATTTTAAAAATGCCAGCACATCTTTAAGTTTTCCAATTAAACTCCACTGGGGTCAATCCGAGCTGATTAAAACGCATCCAGTTTTCTAATGGAAACTGCGTAAGGCAGATGTTGGACATGTTTCAATTTTTCCTCCTTTTTAGAACTCCTTTCAAGATTAGAATAAATATCAAATGTGTTATCCACTTTATGGGAAGAAGTACTTTTTTAAGAGGGACCAGTGCACCTCATAATCTGCAAAACGAATTTTCCCGTTTAAGAACACCACAACCACCAAATACTGGTGCATTATCGGCACTAGTGCTAAGCAATTATCCAGAGGGACTGCATTTTTTCTTTAAGGTTTAATATAGCTGTGCTATATTAAAGCCAGTCAAATGACCTTCCAAGGGGGGACAGAAAAAACTGACTCAATTTCTGAAACTCTGGAACAAAAAAGAAACAACATTGGATACAGTTTGAATTGGTAATGAATTCCAGCCGGAGAGAGGCAGAAGGAGCGTTTAATGCGATCAAAAATGAAGATGATTTTCAAATCCATTTTTAACAATTGCACCCTTGGTTTCTGCACTTTAAGTATTTCTTACGCGACTCAGGAAACAGGTAAAAAAAACCTGCAATGATGCGATGCCTTAAGGGCAGTTGTGCTCCCAGTAAAAAGCAGAGAACAGACTTCTGCATTAATGCTTTGATTTTGTTTCGAAGAAAAATGTATTTTCGTTTTTTTTTTTTTTTCAAAACAGCTCCTGTTGCCCTTTGTGTTTTTGTGACACACATGTTGACCATCCTCCGCCTTCCACCATGCGAAAATCGAAAAATCGCAACGACAGGCGGACACATCGCAATTTAGTACATTTCCTTGAGAAATAATTAAGGAAAGTCACTGTGTACATTTTGAAAACGTAAAAACGAGTATTTTTCAAGTTTCTCGCAGACATAACAAAAGATGAAGTTCTAAAACTGGTTCCCAAAGAGGACGTACTTCACAATCAGGACAAAATGACCGAATAACTCAGAAGATCCAAATAACAGCTGTTTGGGTCTCATTGGCCTAATATATGCCGATGACACGCAGTGGAGCCCAATGCCCATGGAGAACGGAGAAGGACGTTTCTGGATACGTATATGCTTCACTCACAAAGCAGAAGTTATCTAAATTCGCAAAGGTTTTTGTTTTTAATTAGAGAAAATCATTTGGCTTCGGGACGTCCAAAAAAATCACTTTTTTTGTTCACATAACAAGTATTAAGCAAGTTCCATAAAATCGTGAGAAATTTAAGATAAGAAAAAAGTCAGGAGAAATATATTGTAAATCGGGTTGGCGGGAGAGCGGTCGAAAATCGGGAGTCTCCCGCCTAAATCGGGAGAGTTGGCAAGTCTGCATAGATAACACAGCCATAGTGAAGTTTGGAACAGATTAAAGCTCTATAAATGCGGAGCATAGAGCAACGTTCTGCTCCCCAAGAAGTATTAGCCACAATTTTCAGTATGTTGAGAGCTTTAGCACATTTTTTCTTAGATTTAAGATATGTGGAAGGAAAGTAAGCTTTCTGTCAAATATAAATAACTCCTCAGAATTTTGCTTCTGGCTCAATGCGGTTCAGAGCTGTCAAGATGCAGCTCTTGATCAGGATATAGATTTCTTTTGCAACAGAAATGCACGCATGGACTTCTGGCTAGAAAATTTAAAACCATTGTTGTTGGACCACTTTATAATTTTGTTTAGAGCAATTTGTAGTTGTCTCTCAATGTATCTCATATCTTGACTGTGACGATAGATCATCAAATCATTAACATACAGGGAACCATGCACTGTGGGAGGAAGTTCTCTTAAAATGGAATTAATTTTCAGGCTGAAAACGATGAACATGGCACGTTATATTGGGGTAACTTTCTGTTTGTACAAATACTTGAGAATGCCACAAACCAATCTTAATTAAAAAAATATGGCGGTCCTCCTTCAAAGTTTTGAATGAAAGATGGTAAATTGGTCGCAACCCAGTGCTGTAAAGGTCTGAAAAGTTCCATGCCGCCAAAGTTCTATCGTATGCGATTGTGTGCCTTTGTCCATGTCAAGAAGATTGAAATCAACATTTTTTCCTTTTTTCACAAAATGCATTGCGTACTGACTGCGTTGTCTAAAAACAGCAAGTGGGGGTCACGTAAGATCCTTCCTGCTCTCTTCCCCTTTGACCAAAATCCCCTTAGGAAAACGGAAAACCACTTTTGGGGAAGGCGTTGGGCACGATTATGATTCTCCAGATAATTAGGTGAGAACGGTTGGGTTACATTACATATTAAAAACCCAAAACCTTAAAAAAAAAAAAAAACCATTTTTCCCCCCCACGATCCGTGTTCCTTTGCCAAGAAATGCACTGAATGAGCCGCCCGATGTGGGGGCGCGTTAATCTGTTTAAAATTTCAGAAAAACAAAAGGATTTGTATTTCTCTTATTTTTTTTTTTTTTCTTTTCTTTTATTGTTTTTTCGGGTCCCCATTTAGCCGGGGTTTTGCCTAATAGCGATTACAAGGCCCTGCCACCAACGGTAATTGGAAAGGTTTTATCTGGAGTTTCTTTACTTCTTCTTCTTCATAATCTTATTAATCAAGTAGAAGCGACCACTAGAGATTTCATTTGGGGCAGATGCTTTTTAAAAATATCATTATCATCAAATAACCTTAAATATACTTATGCCATCAGGAGAATCCAAGGAGGGCATGTCCTAATCCTATCAGAGTGCGAGA